CTGCCCTCATTGCATACATAGTGCGCCTTTCCCTGCTTTTCTAGTGACCTAGCGTTCCGCACTGCCGTTTGGCCAGCCCATGCTCCCGTACCGTTGCGTTTCTCCCCAATGCGCCATGCCACTTTGCCAGTCATACACACGTTTCGATGCGTGCCCTGTCAGCTGCTTGCGTTGCATGTCGCCTTGCTCCACCCCTGTTTTATTGCTTTCTCTGCTTTCGCCCGGTTCCCGTCCCGTTTCGGCGGGGAGTCTATGTTGCAAGCTAGTTCTTGCTTTACCAGACTTTAAGCCCACACAAGCAAGCAGGCGCTGGAGCTAGTGTCTAAACCCTCCGAGAGGGCACAGGTTCGATTCCTCCCATGTCGAAACTTTGTGAGGACAAACGCGGCATAGCTGACCGGCTCAGCGCCAATCCAAGCCAATTCCTTCGGGAACGCCTAATAGAATCGCCAAGGCTTCGGCACAGGCCTCCCCGGGACCCATTCACTACTAGTGGGGGGTACTGCACTTGGCGCGTCGGGCAGATCAAATAATGGTCTAAAGCTAGACGTTAAAACCGGGAAGTTAAGCTTGTGGAGGCTCTTCCCCACCTTTACCTTTACCTTTACCCTGCGTGAGCCGCGGGAGGACGAGACAGATCTTCGGCTGCAAGACCTGGCTGCTGCGTCAGTGCTTGTGCAGGTGGGCTGGGCTGCAACCCTGTGTTACAGTCACCCCGCTATGATAGGCCGCGTGAGCAGACCTTGGGCAGGGGGCACACGTGATCAAGGGGCATCAAGAGAGGGGGTGGACCATGGAGCACCCTCTCCATGGCTCCGACCACCCTCCCCCCAGCTGAGCGTCCCAGGGTCACCCCACCCTGGCCCCGCTCCCCGTCCTGCCGGACACGCAACCCCCACAACGTGGTGGGGGACGTGGGGATCCTTAGCAGCTTAGGCCTGCCAGGCCGACGGGTGCCGATGCTGGTGCGGGCTCCCGGCGGCAGGCAGCGCCGCCGCCGGGCACTCAAATGGCATGGGGCACATGGGCCCCCATGCCCGCACATCTCCCAGGCACATGAAAATACCAGAAGGCTGCACATGTAAGGGTGCATGCATTGCAGGCAGGAGTGCAAAGTGGCCTGCCGCGGCGGTCGGCTGTGCCATTACTCAGTCAGCCGCCGCTACCGTGCCGGGCTTGGCGTTCCCATGCCAACATGCCGGCGTGCCATCGCGCAAGGGGCCAGTGAGTGTGTGAGGTGGAGGTGGGGGTGGTGGGGCTGCCGCTGACCGTTGCTTGCTGACGCTGACGCTGCTCTTACCTGCGGGGGGAGGGGGTGGGTCGGGAGCCAAGGCCGGGCAAAAGATGCCTGGGCCCTACTCAAGGGAACCGGGGGAGTCACTGTGCCAGGGCAGCAGCATGCTCCTCATGGCACCGGTCGGCAAACCGGGCCAGCCGGCCCTGCCTGGCCTGGCCGAGGAAGGCGGCCAGGGAGGGCAAGGCGTGGCCGGGACTGTGGAAGAGCTCAGCATACTCCTCCCTCAGCCCAGCGTATAGGGGGCAGTCATACACTGCGTGGCGTACGTCCTCTAGAGGGGCCTGGCAGTGGGGGCATGGGCGCTGGGTGCGGTCCAGCCGCTGCCACCGGCCTGTCTCCTCAGCCATCCAGTGCGACCCCGTGCGCCACTGCGCCAGGCGCACCCGGCGCCGGCGCTCGGGCACATCGCACAGGAACGACGCAACCCGCACGAGGGGCTGCCGTTCTGCATGCTTTGCATACCTGGGCACCCACCTGAGAAGTGGCGGTGGGATCCAGCATCCCATTGTTGCCAATGAAGGCCAGCCAGCTGTGCAACACGCAAAGGACCTTCCTGGACGGTCCTGTACTGCAGACCCGGGAGCTGCTTCTGCGTGACTTCCGGCAGTACAACCGCCTGCTCAACTATGTTGGCACCAGGATGGGCATCACACTCATCATCGCTGTGTTCTTCGGAACCGTGCTGGCGGGACAGGTGAGGCTGCCAAGCGGGCGGGTGCCACAAGGGAGGCGGGCAGTGGGCACATCTTGCGAGCAAGGGTGCTCAACGCAGGCAGGATGCCTCACCTACCTTGGGCAATGCTGCGCTTCCTTGTTGCAGGGTGACAACGCTTACACCTACAACGGGTGAGCAAGTGGCAGCGTGGAGCGCCTTGCCAAGTGCATTGGCGTCAGCTCGTCGGCCAAATCCACCACCCGCCCACCTAAGCTTCCTGTGCTCCGCTGCTCCTGCAGAATCTTGAACATCATGGGCATGCAATACAGCAGTGTCATGTTCATTGGCATCCTGAATGCAATGATGGTGCAGTCGATCATCTCGGTCCGCAGGTGGGCCCTCCATTTGGTTGCAGGTTGTCTGGCACGTGTTTCTGTATGCAGGCCAGGAAGGATGGTGACTGCAGCGCAGCCCATGTGCCGTGCCAAGTATGCGCTCAGGCATGCGTCGTACAGCTTCCTTCCGGACCCCTCCACATGCCTCACCATTTGGTTGTCGGCTGCACCTGCAGGACGGTGTTTTACCGTGAGCGTGCGGGCGGCACCTACCAGGTGCTCCCCTTCTCTGCGGCTGAGTTTTTGGTGGAGGTGCCCTACCTGGCGGTACAGGCAGTACTGTACTCCTGTGTGCTGTACTGGTGCGCGACTGGCTGCCATAGCAAGGGCCCGGTTCCTGCTCTTCATCTGCTTTCGCCGTTGCCGTGCGCTATCGCTTGCTCGTCAATCGGTTGCAGCAGCTGCCTGGGAGATGGGGAGCCACCCGTCGCATGCCTGGCCGCCACGCTCGCCTGGCCGCACCCAGCATTGTTGCGGCAGGCTGTGCTGCCTCCTGTGTCCAGCTCCCCGATTGCTCTCCCTCCAGGCTGGTGGGGTTCCAGGCCGAAGCTGGCAAGTTTTTCTGGTTCCTGCTCATCCTGTTCCTCACACTCCTGGTCTGGTGAGTGGAAGAGCTGGCTCCCAGTCACACCCCAGGGCTGAGGCACCATTGGAGGATTGAAAGCTGCCAGCATGTCAGGGACAAGGGCCCAACAGCGCACCAGCTGTCTTGGGGTGCAGGACATTCTTCGGCATCCACAACGTCCAGATCACTCCCTCGCTGGCCATCGCCAATGCATTCACTTCCTTCATGTATGGTGCGTGGACGGCTGGCTGCCCGCAGCAGCTGCTGCCGTTACCAGGGAGCCCTGCTGTACCGCACATTGCACTGCCCACCGAACAGTTCGCCTGCCATACCTTCTGACACACGCCACTGCTTCCCTCGGCCTGCCGCCTCCCGCTGCCACAGGCGTGTGGGACCTGTTCTGCGTGAGTGGCAGAGCGGCTGCTGGCAGCTGCCGCCTTGCCGCTGCTGGGCACGCTGGCATGGCCGCAGGGCTTAGCCGCCTGGGCACCTGCGGCCCGCCGTTTCCGACTGTGCCTGCTTGGCGGTGCCTGCTGCAGGGATTCTACAAGCCTCAGTCGCTGATACCCAAAGGATGGATCTGGATGTACTGGCTGGATCCCATCTCCTACACCCTCTATGGGCTCGTTGTTGGCGAGCTGGGAGACAACGAGGACCTCATGGCGGTGAGTGTCTGTCGTTGCCAGCTGCAGCATTTGCTTTTTTCGTTCGCTGGTGCACCCTCTCACCTCCCGCCTGCCCCACTGTAATGTGTGCAGGACCAGAGCCCGCCCATCACCAGGTAGGCCTCCCGATCACCGGTCCCCTCCTGGCGGGGGTCATGCATCCCCCACCCATCATGCATTTCAGGCTTCATCTCCCTCAAACCTCCACCATTTTCCCTCTCGTTTGTCGTGATCGACTCCGGGTAGCCCAAATGCTTCATGACTCCCCCCAAGCTGCACATCAGCGTGCATGAGTCCAACCCTGGGAGGCGCCTTGACAATGAACAGCCGCGCAGGCAGGCATCTAAAAGACCAGGCCAGGCTCCTCCTATAAATCATCCCGGGCAGCGCAGCCGGCGCCATGCCGAGGCGGGGCCAAACACCTCGAGCAGCAGCGGCTGGTGGAGCGAGCGGCAGCAGCGCAGGCACGATGCTTGGGACGACAGGAGAGAGGCGGACGAGCAGATGATGCTGGCCACCACACCGCAGCGGGCGGCGCTGCAGGCGGGGCAGCGGGCGGCAGAAATCCAGCAGGTTCAGGCGCGGCTGGACAGCACGGAGCCACTGCGCTGCTGGCCCACAGCTGGCCGGCATGACGGCACTCCTTGCTGTTTCAGGAAGACTGGAACCATGCCGGCAGTGTATCACGGCCTTGGCGGCGTGGCGGGCTCCCTCGTGGTGCCCATTTTTGAGTGCGCTTTGCACGGCGAGAAGAACGTCACAGCGCACCCGTTCCAGGTTGGCTGCGTGCCCAGCAGCCCTGTGATCAACACTGTCTACCTCTCAGAAGATTTGGTGGAGATGTTCCGGCTGTTGCAGCTCAAAGACGGCGTTGGTGGGCATGGTGGGTTGCGAGCAAACGCCGCCCAGTTTTTGCCGCCAGGCTGTCCACAAATGCACCTGCCCCCCCCGCCGCCCCCCCCCCCCCCC